CAAAAACCAAACGATTAATTACAACATACCTAAAAATAAAAAAGAATTATTTGATATAATGGGCGATAGCTTTATCCAAAATTATATAGCAGAAGATGGTATTATAGATATGGATATGGAAACAATGGAAAAAAATCTGAATAGAAAGTATCTAAATTGGATGGGAAAAAGAAAAAAGAATTCCAAAACGAATCAGAAATTATTGACTCCGAGATTTGGGTTCTTTTCAAAATTAAGTGCATATAAGAAGAATCCTTGGATCTTACCAATGAATTTCTTTTTTGTGCAGTTTTATGGAAACAAAAACATTACTGATGTAGCCAAGTTAAAGTTAGAAAAGAAAGAATACGGGAAGCAAGCAGATCTCAAATCATATCTCTCAAACTATTATAGGGACACTCGGTATAGTATAACTAGATACAGGAAGGATCTAAATGGCGAACAAAATTTCTTACTAGATAAATATTTTGGTTTTTATTTGCACTGTAAGACTCCCGTCCAAGAAACACTAATGGATAATATCAACTTATATTGTCTCCTGGTTAGATTGAAAAATCTAAAACAATTTTTCATAATGTCTATAAAAAAGGCAGACCTCGATTTTGAAATTACGGCGCGTCTGCAGATGAAGGACACTTGTTATACAGAATGTAGGGACACAGAGGAATTGAGGGACAACCTAATGTTTTTTATTGAACCTATTCGTATTTCTAGAAAAAACTATGAACAATTTTTTATATATCAAACCATAAGCATATCATTGAGGCACAAACGTAAAATTTTGAAAAGAAACTATGATTTACTTGTTCCTGAAAATCTTTTGTCCACTAGACGCCGTAGAGAATTGAGAATTCTAATTTGTTTGAACCCACAGAATAGAAATACTGTGCATAGAAACACAATAAATGACACTGAGAAAAAACGAAATAATTCTTCTGAAGTTTTGACTCAAAATGAAGATATTGATAGCGATACAAAAAAACTAATGACTTTAAAATTCTTTCTTTGGCCAAATTATCGATTCGAAGATTTAGCTTGTATGAACCGCTATTGGTTTGATACACATAATGGAAGCCGTTTCAGTATATTAAGAATACATATGTATCCTCGATTGAAAATCTAGATTTTTGTTCTATTTATCATTATCATAATATTTCAGATATCTATCTGATATCTGATATGTGAACATATATATATATATATAAATAAATATTTATTTATATATATATATATATGTTCACATATAATTGATAATTGCAATAAATAAAATAAACGCGCACACGCATTGTGGGATTGATACGACTTCAATGATGTCTCCATTAGATAGAAATAAATCAATAGAAAAATGAATAAATCAAAATTGTCTTTTTTTTTTTTATTTTTTAAATACAAGACAATAGAATTTTTTATTTTTTGAATACATAAATATAGTATTTATTCTCTATTTGAATTACATTCCTTAATAAGGAATTTGAAAAAAAAAAATTCAGAATTGTGAAAATTGTTAAATAAATTAAGGTAAAATTTGATATAAAAAATTCAAAATGAGTGTCATTACTATTACTGATCAATAAAAATATCTACCAAAAAGGAGGGGGAAAGAAAAGCTTTCATTTTATGATAAAAAATTCATTTATACCTGTTATTTCACAAAAAAAAAAAGAAGAAGAAAACCCGGGATCGGTTGAATTTCAAGTATTCAACTTCACTAATAAAATACAAAGACTTACTTCACATTTTAAATTACACCCAAAAGACGATTTATCTCAAGGAGGTTTACGTATAATTCTGGGAAAACGGAAACGACTATTGTCGTATTTGTCAAAGAAAAACAAAATACGTTATCAAAATTTAATAAATCGGTTGGGTATTCGGGATTCACAAATTAGGTAATTTAAAGAATCATTTTCAATTATTCGATTTATTAGATACTGAATTTTGATGAACTTTTTTTTTTGAACGATTCATGGAAGAATGAATCGAGGAAAAACCTATGAATATCCCAGCTACAAGAAAAGACCTCATGATAGTAAATATGGGGCCTCAACACCCATCGATGCATGGTGTTCTTCGACTTATTGTTACTCTGGATGGTGAAGATGTTATTGATTGTGAACCAATATTGGGTTATTTACACAGAGGTATGGAAAAAATAGCGGAAAACCGAACAATTATACAATATCTGCCTTATGTAACACGTTGGGATTATTTAGCGACTATGTTCACAGAAGCAATAACTGTAAACGGGCCGGAACAATTGGGAAATATTCAAGTACCTAAAAGAGCCAGCTATATACGAGTAATTATGTTGGAGTTAAGTCGTATAGCTTCTCATCTACTATGGTTGGGACCTTTTATGGCAGATATTGGTGCACAAACCCCTTTTTTCTATATTTTTAGAGAAAGAGAATTAATATATGATCTATTCGAAGCTGCGACAGGTATGAGAATGATGCATAATTTTTTTCGTATTGGGGGGGTAGCCGCTGATCTACCTTATGGTTGGATAGATAAATGTTTTGATTTCTGCAATTATTTTTTAACAAGGGTTATTGAATATCAAAAACTTATTACGCGAAATCCAATTTTTTTAGAACGGGTTGAAGGAGTAGGTTTTGTTGGTAGAGAGGAAGTTATAAATTGGGGGTTATCAGGACCGATGCTTCGGGCTTCCGGAATACAATGGGATCTACGTGAAGTTGATAATTATGAGTGTTACGAGGAATTGGATTGGGAAGTTCAATGGCAAAAAGAAGGAGATTCATTAGCTCGTTATTTAGTTCGAATTGGTGAAATGGTGGAATCCATAAAAATAATTCAACAGGCTTTGGAAGGAATTCCAGGGGGGCCTTATGAAAATTTTGAAATCCGCTGCTTTGATAGAGAAAAGGAGCCAGAATGGAATGATTTTGAATATCGATTCATTGGTAAAAAATCGTCTCCTACTTTTGAATTGCCGAAACAAGAACTTTATGTGAGAGTTGAGGCCCCCAAGGGAGAATTAGGAATTTTTCTAATAGGAGTTCAGAATGGTTTTCCTTGGAGATGGAAAATTCGTCCACCTGGTTTTATCAATTTGCAAATTCTTCCTCAATTAGTTAAAAATTGGCTGATATTATGACAATACTAGGTAGCATAGATATCATTATGGGAGAAGTTGATCGTTGAAATGAGAATTGATACAACGGAAGTCCAAGATATAAACTCCTTTTCCGGATTGGAATCTTTCAAAGAGGTCTATGGAATTCTATGGATACTTGTACCAATTTTGATTCTTATCTTGGGAATCACAATAAGTGTACTAGCAATTGTATGGTTAGAAAGAGAAATATCAGCAGGGGTACAACAGCGTATTGGACCTGAATACGCTGGTCCTTTTGGAATTCTTCAAGCTCTAGCAGACGGAACAAAACTACTATTCAAAGAGAATCTTATTCCATCTAGGGGAGATATTCGTTTATTCAGTATTGGACCATCCATATCAATAATATCAATTCTAATAAGTTATTCAGTAATTCCCTTTGGCTATAACTTTGTTTTATCTGATTTCAAGATAGGTGTTTTTTTATGGATTGCTATTTCGAGTATTGCTCCCATTGGACTTCTTATGTCAGGATATGGCTCAAATAATAAATATTCCTTTTTGGGTGGTCTACGAGCTGCTGCTCAATCGATTAGTTATGAAATACCATTAACTCTATGTGTCTTATCAATATCTCTACGTGCGATTCGTTGAAACCAAAAAAGTTATTCGATGCTATTGCTATGCTCCTCTCTTTATAGTACTATATAGGAAAGGAGGCGAATCAATTGAATAGAAACCTTCATTATCTTTATTTTTCTCCGATTGAAGAACTAAATTAGATAGTTATATGAGTGAAATAAAACAGCTTATATTGAATAGAATTTCAGAATACTTTCTTACTTCTAGTTAATAGATAGTATGATGATTTTTAATGGCAGTAAAAATATTGAGTCTCATTTTCTATGTATAAGAATGAAATAAAATTATAAACAGAAGAGGCCATTTAACCCAAGATTGGATAATTTGTCATCCTGTTTTGAAGCGGGCTCTAAAGACCAACCTTATTGAGTTTTAGTTACCATTTTTATGAATTCTCATAGATATATTAAAATAAATAAGGGGGATTAATAAAAAAGAGTGGATGGTTAGAAACACCAAGATACACAAAGGATTAGTAACACAGATTTTGTAAATTATCCAAAAGACAATTTACGCAGAATATAAAAAGAATACTAATTGGGGCTTTAAGTTGGTAGAAAAAATAAAGCAGTACTCCCCACAACTCCGATCCAGAGTATGCTTCCATCCACTCATTAAATAAATGACTATCAGGAACGAAAAAATCCTTTAAAATTTTTTAAGTCCCTTTTTCATAGCACAAAAAAGAAGAATAGGAACGAAAAAAAAAACATAAGAAATCAAAAACGAAAGAGAAATCTATTTTTCGTTTTTGATTTCTTATATCCATATCCATATTCATGGAGATCAAATCATAATTAAGAAACGAATGTTTAATTCTTTTTCGTAATTCAAAATCATGAGGGCTATTGAGAATTATAAAAGAGTATTTTATTGAAGAATTCAGTTATTACTCAACAAATTTTTATTTTTGAGGGATGAGATCAATTCAGAAGTGCCTTACATTGGATCTTTTATTAAACTATATTTCTCTTTCTTATTTCGTTATTTCTAGAACAGACAGAATTGAATTGGTCTAATTCAGAACCGTTCGATCTATTTTCATCTTCTATATCTTAGGGATATAGCAAGAGAGAAATAATTGACCCGGTCCTTAGATTTACTTAAGGCTTTCCAGGAGCCGTATGAGGTGAAAATTTCATGTACGGTTCTGTAATAGAGATGGGAACAGTAATGTTATCACCGACTAGGATTATCTAACAGTTTAAGTACAGTTGATATAGTTGATGCGCAAGCAAAATATGGTTTTTGGGGTTGGAATTTGTGGCGTCAACCTATGGGTTTCATCGTTTTTCTAATTTCTTCGCTAGCAGAATGTGAAAGATTACCTTTTGATTTACCAGAAGCAGAAGAAGAATTAGTAGCTGGTTATCAAACAGAATACTCAGGTATTAGATTTGGTTTATTTTACGTTGCTTCCTATTTAAACCTTTTAATTTCTTCATTATTTGTAACAGTTCTTTACTTGGGCGGTTCAAATATCTCTATTCCGTACATATTTGTTTCTGAATTTTTTGAAATAAATAAAACATACGGAGTTTTTGGAACTACAATTGATCTCTTTATTACATTAGCTAAAAGCTATTTTTTCTTATTTGTTTCTATCATAACAAGATGGTCTTTGCCTAGGCTAAGAATGGATCAATTATTAAATCTTGGATGGAAATTTCTTTTACCTATTTCTCTCGGTAATCTATTATTAACAACTTCGTCTCAATTGTTTTCGCTGTAAAAGATGGATCTTCTATATTCATTACTTGTCTCAAATAAGAGAAAGAAATAAAACAAAACTATTCATAGATATTTACGATATGTTCCTTATGGTAACTGGGTTCATGAATTATGGTCAACAAACAGTCCGAGCTGCAAGGTACATTGGTCAAAGTTTCATGATTATCTTATCTCACGCAAATCGTTTACCTGTAACTATTCAATATCCTTATGAAAAATTAATCACATCAGAACGTTTCCGCGGTCGAATCCATTTTGAATTTGATAAATGCATTGCTTGTGAAGTATGTGTTCGTGTATGTCCTATAGATTTACCCGTTGTTGATTGGAAAATGGAAACGGATATTAGAAAGAAACGATTGCTAAATTACAGTATTGATTTCGGAATCTGTATTTTTTGTGGTAACTGTATTGAGTATTGTCCAACAAATTGTTTATCAATGACTGAAGAATATGAACTTTCAACTTATGATCGTCATGAATTGAATTATAATCAAATTGCTTTGGGCCGTTTACCAATGTCAATAATTGATGATTATACAATTCGAACAATTCAAATCAAATAAAAAAAGACAATTTTTTATAATTTAATAAAATACAATTCTAAAAAAAAAAAGAATATTCTATATATATATAGATTTCTATATATATATAGAATATATATAGAATATATAGAATAATCGAAATAAAATATTTTCAAAAATTGTATAAAAAATGAATCATATAATCGATATTGGATTAGAAATATTCTCTAATTATTAGAGAAATATATTCTTAAATAGAATAGAGAAATATATTATCGAAATTTGAAATATTCTTTAATTTAAAGACTAGTTCAAATGGTTATATATGTTCTATCTACCTTTATACTTTAGTTTTAATATCGTTTCAAACTACTCTTTCGTATAAAGAGTAGTTTAAGTGGAATGACATTGATTATATAACCGTAACTATATCAATTTAAACTACTTAGGTTTTTTCAATGCAAAGAAAAATTTAAGTATATAACAATTTTTTCCTGGTCATATCAATAAGGTCATGAAATTTCGATTTCTTTGTCTTTTTTTTTTTTACATATAATGGATTTGCCTGAAACGCTGCACGATTTTCTTTTAGTCTTTCTGGGATCGGGTCTTATATTAGGAAGTTTAGGAGTAGTATTACTTACCAACCCCATTTTTTCTGCTTTTTCGTTGGGACTGGTTCTTGTTTGTATCTCTTTCTTATATATTTTAGCAAACTCGCATTTTGTAGCTGCATCACAGCTACTTATTTACGTGGGAGCTATTAACATTTTAATCATATTTGCTGTGATGTTCATGAATAGTTCCGAATATTACCAAGATTTTCATCTTTGGACCATAGGGGATGGAATTACTTTGATAGTTTGTACAAGTATTTTTGTTTCACTAATAACTATTATTTCAGATACATCATGGTACGGAATTATTTGGACTACAAGACCAAATCAGATTATTGAACAAGATTTGATAAGTACTAGTCAACAAATTGGAATTCATTTATCAACAGATTTTTTTCTTCCATTTGAACTAATTTCAATAATTCTTTTAGTTTCTTTGATAGGTGCAATTGTCGTAGCTCGCCAGTAAGAAATCTTTAGAGAACTACTAATATAAATCAAGACTATATATATATATGTATTTTTTTTTTTTCAATGTGAAGTGAAAGAGTTTTTAGGTAGAAATTCTTTTTTTTTATTGCCAATATATTCTTTTGTTGCAGACTTGTTATATTCTTTAGTCAATTGAATCTGTTGAATTGTTGTTCATATTGAAATGAATCAAAATTGATAAGGAGTTGGTCAATGATGCTCGAACATGTACTTGTTTTGAGTGCCTATTTATTTTCTATTGGTATCTATGGATTGATCACGAGCCGAAATATGGTTAGAGCCCTTATGTGTCTTGAACTTATATTGAATGCAGTGAATATAAATCTAGTCACTTTTTCTGATTTTTTTGATAATCGCCAATTAAAAGGAAATATTTTTTCAATTTTTGTTATAGCTATTGCAGCCGCTGAAGCGGCTATCGGACTGGCTATTGTTTCCTCAATTGCTCGTAACAGAAAATCAACCCGTATCAATCAATCGAATTTGTTGAATAAATAGCATGAATCATATCATAATTAATAAAAAAGAAACAAAGTAGAATTTCAAATAGTGTAATATTAATCAATTCATTTTAGTATTTATTCGACACAACTTATGATCATATCATGTTTGCATTCCCTAAATCATAAGAAATCAAAGTATCCTGGTCCTCTTCTATTTCCTCTTCTAAATTTATCTAGACGCCTTTTTTATTAACAGTTAACAATATTATCACAAATCATTGATTCATCTGGTATATAAATATACGATTCATTTACGAGTTTACTAGATCGATAATTTTCATTTTTGAACATCAAAAATTACTATAGATATAATGTCACATTCAGTAAAGATTTATGATACATGTATAGGATGTACTCAATGTGTCCGAGCCTGTCCCACAGATGTATTAGAAATGATACCTTGGGATGGATGTAAAGCTAAGCAAATAGCTTCTGCCCCAAGAACAGAGGACTGTGTTGGTTGTAAGAGGTGTGAGTCCGCTTGTCCGACAGATTTCTTAAGTATTCGAGTTTATTTATGGCATGAAACAACTCGAAGTATGGGTCTAGCTTATTGATACGTTTCAAAAAACACCACACGAATACGTTTTTTACTGGCAAAAACTCGTGCTCAAAATCAAATAGAAAAAAATTTTCTATTTGATTTTGAGCACGGGCTTTTCTGGCCCAAGTGTATCTTATTTTTATCACGAATGATTTTCCTTGGTTAACAATAGTTGTTGTTTTCCCAATAGCCGCAGGTTCCTTCATTTTCTTATTTCCTCATAGGGGAAATAAGGTAATTAGGTGGTATAGCATTTGTATATGCTTAATCGATCTCCTTCTAACAACCTATGCATTTTGTTATCATTTCCAATTGGATGATCCACTAATTCAACTGACGGAGAATTCTAAATGGATCAATTTTTTTGATTTTTACTGGAGATTAGGAATAGATGGACTCTCTATAGGACCTATTTTACTGACGGGATTTATAACTACTTTAGCCACTTTAGCGGCTCAGCCGGTTACTCGAGAATACCAATTATTCTATTTCGGTTACTCGAGAATACCAATTATTCTATTTCCTGATGTTAGCAATGTATAGCGGTCAAATCGGACCATTTTCTTCTCGAGACATTTTACTTTTTTTCATCATGTGGGAATTGGAATAATTCCCTTTATCTACTTTTATCCATGTGGGGGGGAAAGAAACGTTTGTATTCAGCTACAAAGTTTATTTTTGTACACTGGAGGAGCTTCTATTTTTTTATTAATGGGATTTCGGGTATCGGTTTATATGGCTCTAATGAACCAACATTAAATTTTGAAACATTAATTAATCAATCGTATCCCGTGGCACTAGAAATAATATAATATACGGCATTTCTTATTGCTTTTGCTGTCAAATCGCCGATTATACCCTTACATACATGGTTACCAGATACCCACGGAGAGGCACATTACAGCACTTGTATGCTTTTAGCCGGAATCTTATTAAAAATGGGAGCGTATGGGTTGGTTCGAATTAATATGGAATTTTTTTTCCCACGCTCATTCCATATTTTGCCCCTGGTTAATGATATTAGGTTCTATTCAAATAATCTATGCCGCTTCAACATCTTTTGGTCAACGTAATTTAAAAAAAAGAATAGCTTATTCTTCGGTATCTCATATGGGTTTTATAATTATAGGGAATAAATTCTATAAGTGATACTGGTCTCAACGGGGCCATTTTACAAATAATATCTCATGGATTTATTGGCGCTGCCCTTTTTTTCTTGGCAGGAACTAGTTATGATAGACTCTGCGTCTTCTTTATCTTGACGAATGGGCGGAATGGCTATCCCAATGCCAAAAATATTCACTATTTTCACTATCTTATCAATGGCTTCTCTTGCATTGCCTGGCATGAGCGGTTTTGTTGCAGAATTGATAGTTTTTTTTGGAATAATTACTAGTCAAAAAATATCTTTTCATGATGAAAATACTAATTACTTTTGTAACAGCAATTGGAATTATATTAACTCCTATTTATTTATTATCTATCTTACGGCAGATGTTCTATGGATACAAATTTTTTAATACACCAAACTCTTCTTTTTTTGATTCAGGGCCCAGAGAATTATTTATTTCGATTTCAATTCTTATACCCATAATAGGTATTGGTATTTATCCAGATTTCATTTTCTCATTTTCGGTTGACAAGGTTGAAGCTATTCTATCTAATTTTTGATGGATGATTTTTGTGAATAAATGAATCAAAAAGATAAAAAAAAGATTTTTCCGTTAGATTCACTTCAAAATTTGAAATGATAATCGAATATGTTTGTTGTTTGTGAGAACCCCTTGAATCATTACATTACTTGATTGAAAGGGTTCTCAACGATTTATGGAACGTATATATTTATATGCTTTCCATATTTTTCTTTCTCAGGTTCTTTACTCATTTTTAGTCAATTAGATGTAAATGAACCATAACTATGTAGTCCTATTCCTAATAGATTGATCCCCAAATAACATATCCAAATTATAAGAAATCCTATAGAGGCCACTATTGAAGAATTTACACCTTCTAATTTTTTATTTTTCTAGTATGTAAATAAATCGCGAATATGGTCCAAGTAATAAAGGCCCAAGTTTCCTTTGGATCCCAATTCCAATAGGAACCCCCATGCCTCGTTAGCCCATACTGCTCCTGAAAGAATACCTATCGTTAAAAAGAGAAAACCCAGACTAATAATACGATAACCCCAACGATCCAATTGTTGAATAAATTGAGACCTGTAATAATTTATAGAAGAAGAAAAAGAAGTTTTTCGTAAAACATTGTTTCTTTCATTCCTATTCATGTATTTGATTTCAACAAAATCAACTGATTTTTTTAAAGAATCCAAATTCTTGGTAAAAGCAAGAATTTGGATGACTTCTTGAAAC